AGACAGGCCTCTGCCAGCCCTCAATGGCAGAGTGAGCAAGGAACAAAACTTTACCATCAAAAGTCACTGAGACTTGGAATTTGGTTGTTACTGCAGCACATTTTAGCCTGTCGTCATGGTACAAAGGAGATTTTTAACATTAGCACGTTTAACATATTTAATCTCTGTAATTAGAAATCAACTAAAGTTAAAAGATTGCTGTTAGAAATGAATCACAATAAAAAGAAATAATTATATATTTCAACTGTTACACAGCTTAAGAGTACTGTAATATTCAATATCATTAACACACTCCTCCCCAGATAGTCTGAGCTGGGCAATGCCAACATGTACCTCCCTCTCCTTTCCAACACTTTTTTTTTTTTACTTATCAAGTTTTATTTTAATTCCAGTATAGCTAATACATCATGTTATATTAGTTTCCAATGTACAATACAGTGATTCAACAATTTCATAGATCACCCGGTGCTCGCCACAAGTGCACTCCTTAATCTCCATCACCTATTTCACCCTTCCCGCCCCCCTCTGGTCCAGGAACCATCAGTTTGTTCTCTACAGTTCAGAGTCTGTTTCATGGTTTCTCTCTCTCTCTCTCTCTCTCTCTTTTCCCCTTTGCTCATTTGTTTTGTTTCTTAAATGCCACATAGGAGTGAAATCACATGGTATTTGTCTTTCTAGGATTTATTTCACGTTACATTACTTTCTCTAGCTCCATCCACATTGTTGTAAATGGCAAAGATTCCATTCATTCTTATGGCTGAATAATATCCCATTGTGGCATAATATCCCATATTCCACATCTTCTTTATCCATTGATCTAGCAATGGAAACAGGGACTGCTTCCATAATTTGACTATTGTAAATGATGATGCAATAAACATAGGGGTGCATATATCCTTTTGAATTCGTTTTTTAAATATTTTTTGGGTAAATACACAGTAATGCCATTACTGGGTTGTAGGGTAGTTTTATTTTTAATTTTTTGAGGGACATCCATACTGTTTTCTACAGTGGCTTCACCAGTTTGCATTTCCACCAATAGTGCACAAGGGTTCCTTTTTCTCCAAATCCTCGTCAACACTTGTTGTTTCTTGTGTTATTAATTTAGCAATTCTGATAGGTATGAGGTGATATCTCATTAAGTTTTGATTTGCATTTCCCTGATGATGTGTAGTGTTGCGCATCTTTTCATGTGTCTGTTGGCCATCTGGATGTCTTCTTTGGAGAAATGCCTGTTCATATTTTCTGCCTATTTTTAAATTAGATTATCTGTTTTTTGGGTGTTGAGTTTTAAAAGTGCTTTATATAGTTTGCATACTAATCCTTTATCAGATATGTCATTGGCAAATACCTTCTTCCATTCTATAGGATGCCTTTTAGTTTTGCTGATTATTTCCTTCACGGTACAAAAGGCTTTTATTTTGGTATAGTCTCAATAGTTTATTTTTGCTTTTATTTCCCTTGCCTCAGAAGATATATCTAGAAAAATGTTGCTACAGCTAATGTCAGAGAAATTGCTGCCTGTGCTCTATTCTAGAATTTTTGTGGTTTCAGTTCTCATATTTAGGTCTTTTATCCATTTGTGAATTTATTTTTGTATATGGTGTAAGAAAAGGGTCCAGTTTCATTCTTTTGCATGTTGCTGTCCATTTTTCACAATATCATTTGTTGAAGAGACTATCTTTTTCCCATTGCATATTCTTTCCCGCTTTGTCAAGATTAATTGACTATATAATTGTGGGTTTATTTCTGGGTTTTCTGTCCTGTTCCATTGATCTATATGTCTGTTTTTGTGCCAATACCATATCATTTTGATTATTACAGCTTTGTAGTATGACATGAAGTGTGGAGGTAGCTTTTCTCCAGTTTTGCTTTTCTTTTCTAAGATTTCTTTGGCTATTCAAGGTCTTTTGTGGTTCAATTCAAAATTTAGGATTGTTTGTTTCAGTTCTGCGAAAAATGCTAGTATTTTAATAGGGATTGCATTAATTCTGTAGTTTACTCTTCCAATCCATGAGCATGGAATGTCTTTCCATTTCTTTGTGCCTTCATCAATTTCTTTCATCAGTGTTTTATAGTTTTTAGACTATGGGTCTTCACCTCTTTGGTTAAGTCTTTTCCTAGGTATTTTATTATTTTTGGTATAATTATAAATGAGATTGTTTTCTTAGCTTCTCTTTCTACTACTTCATTATTAGTATATAGAAATATAACAGATTTATGTACATTGATTTTGTATCTGCATTCATTTATCAGTTCTAGCAGTGTTTTGGAGGAATCTTTCAGGCTTTCTATATAGAATATCATGTTGTCTGCAGATAGTGAAAATTTGACTTCTTCCTTACCAATGTGGATGCCTCTTATTTCTTTTTGTTGTCTGATTGCTGTGGCTAGGACTGACTATGTTAAATAACAGTGGCAAGAGTAGACATCCTTGTCTTGATCCTGAGCTTAGGGGAAAAGCTCTTAGTTGTCGTCCATTGAATATGATGTTCACTGTGGGTTTTCATATAAAGCCTTTATTATGTAGAGGTATGTTCCCTCTAAACCTACTCTGTTGAGGGTTTTTATCATGAAGGGGTGTACTTTGTCAAATGCTTTTTCTTCATCTATTGAAATGATCACATAGGTTTTTATCCTTTCTCTTGTTGATGTGAAGTTTTGGTTTTAGGGTAATGCTGGCCTCATAGAATAAATTTGGAAGTTTTCCTTCCTCTTCTATTTTTTGAAATAGTTCAAAAAGAATTGGTATCAACTTTTCTTTAAATCTTTGGTAGAATTCCCCTATAAAGCAATCTGGTCCTGGACTTTTCTTTGTTGGGAGTTTTTTTGTTTTGTTTTGTTATTTATTTCTAGGAGAGAGAGAGAGAGAGAGAGACAGCGTGAGCAGGGGAGGGTCAGAGAGAGAGGGAGATACAGACTCTGAAATAGGCTCCAGGCTCTGAGCTGGCAGTCAGCACAGAGCCCGACGTGGGGCTCAAACCCACGAACCATGAGATCATGACCTAAGTGAAAGTCGGACGCTTAACCGACTAAGCCACCCAGGCGCCCCGGGAGTTTTTTGACTAGTGATTCAATTTCCTTGAATTGGTCTGTTCAACTTTTCTATTTCTTTCTGCTCCCATTTTGGTAGGTTATATGTTTCTAGGAATTTATCCTTTTCTTCCAGGTTGTCTAATTCATTGGCATAAAATTTTCATAATATTTGCTTACAATTGTTTATATATCTATGATGTTAGGTATTATTATTCCTCTCTCATTTGTGATTTTAAGTTCTCTCTCTCTCTTTCTCTCTGTCTCTCTCTCATGAGTTTGGTTAGAGATGTATCAGTTTTGGTGGGCTTTTTCCAAAGAATAAACTCCTGGTTTCATTGGTCTGTTCTATTGTTTTTTTAAGTTTCTATGTCATTTCTTTCTGCTCTAATCTGTATTGTTTCCTTCATTCTGCTGGTTTGTGGTTTTGCTTTTTCTTCTTTTTCTAGCTCCTTGAGGTATAAGGTTAGGTTGTTTATTCCTTTTCTATACTTTCATTTCTGGCCATGCCAAGTTCTAATAGTCACGGTCTTCTTTAATTGTTGTTGCCTTTATTTTAAAAGTCATGGGGTATGTTACTTTAAAAATGAACAATTTAGAATCAAATGAAAAAGATCTGCTTTCTGTCTTCCTTACTAACCTACCTCCTGGGGTTGAGTTTGGAGTATATCCATCCAGACAGTTTCTTTGCAGTTCCAAGTACAAATGAAATCCCACTCTTCATTTCTTAACATCTTGCTTTTTTACTTTGTTTTTCAAGTATCTATTCATGTTGGTGCATATTTATTTACATGTTTCTTTTGAATGACAGCAGAGATGTCAATTTCAAAGATTTAGTATCCTTAATTTAACTGGTTTCCTACTGATAGACATTTTTGGTCTTTATACTCTCTTGCTATGGTTAATGGTCCAGTGAATATCCTTATAAAATATATAATTTGCATACTTGTGCAAATTAATCCAGAGGAAATTTCTAGAATTAGAATTCTGAGTTGCAGGGAATTTGCAGCTTAAATGCCAATAAATATTGCCAGTTCCCTTCCCAAAGGTTGAAGCAATTGAATGGGATTGTACATCAGTACAGTGTGAGAGTTCTTTTCCCACTCTCAAGAATGCAAGGTACTATCAAACATTTTTAAATCTCTGCCATTATAACCATAAAAAAGGGGTATTTTGTTATGGGTTTTTTTTCTTAAAGAGTTTATTGTCAAGTTGGTTTCCATATAACAGCCAGTGCTCATCCCAAGTGCCCTCCTCCATGCCCATCACTCCCTTCCTCCTCTCCCCCACCCCCATCAGCCCTCAGCTTGTTTTCAGCATTCAAGAGTCTCTCATGGTTTGCCTCCCTCCCTCTCCCCAACTATTTTGCCCCTTCTTCTCCCCCACGGTCCTCCGTTAAGTTCCTCCTAATCCTCCTATACGTGCAAACATATGGTATCTGTCCTTCTTTGCCTGACTTATTTCACTCAGCATAACACCCTTAAGTTCCATCCATGTTGCTACAAATGGCCAGATTTCATTCTTTCTCATTGCCATGTAGTATCCCATTGTATAGATAAACCTCATCTTCTTGATCCATTCTCAGTTGATATAATCATAAAAAAGGGGTATTTTGTTATTGTTTAAAGTGCATTTCCTTAATAATAGGTGAGTTTGTGCTTGTTCTTTCTCTAAATATGTTAATACCTTTAGTATAGTGAGGCCTAAGTGGATTCTTTCTCCTAAAGGTGAGTTGTTTTTATTATTTAAATCTCAGAGAATAGTCTTATTTCTAAACATTGAAGAAGTACCTCAATGTTATTGTTACTCATTTACTGAATAAACGGGACTCACAGTATTTCTAAGACCTTGATATATATATTGCCACCAGGATATTTTATAATGACCTCATCCAAGGCAGATGGGCTGGGAATTGGCCAGCCTTTGCACCTCTCAGTTAATTAATGTGACCTATTATTTCATTGCAGCAATTCAGCTTTGTGTCTTTGCCCACTGATGTACTGGAAATTGAGGTGAAAGACAAGTTTGCTAAGAGCCGCCCCATCATCAAGCGCTTCTTGGGAAAGCTGTCGATGCCTGTTCAAAGACTTCTGGAGAGACACGCCATAGGGTAAACCTGTGACTGAGACCTCACTATCACTAAGGCTTCAGCGAGCTGGCGAAGGGAGGCCTGCAAGCTGCAATAATGTAGTCTCGTGGTGGTATTGAATCTCCTTGGCCTCTCTCATTAATTCTACTGCTCAGGCTACAACATTCTATTAAACAAACCCTTCCCTTTCCCCTTGTCTGTGTACCACTGGTTACTTACACAAGAGAGCAGAAAATCCTAAGACAATATTGAAAGAATCCCTTAATACAGCATTTTTCTCAACAGGTAGAAATTAACATTTGTTTTAGCATGAAGAATATTATTTCTGCTTGTGGGATTTAATCATTTGAGATGTTTGTATTACAAGATCAAATGCTGGGTTACTAGAGTAGAGAGACTTAGAAAATGCTGGTACTTATAGAAAATGCTAGATAGTATGTATGAAATTTTAAAAGCATGAGTTGTCATGGACAACTGCAATTATGTTACTTGCAGAATTCAGTTGTATATAAGAATGTGTCTGTATCTTTTACATTCATGTCCACTCATGATTCCCATTAAAGTGAACTCTTACAAGGGAAAATATTTATATATAATATATGTTTCCTTAGTTAACAGCTACTCTATTTGAAAACACTACATATGGCTCTCTGGCCATATAAGTATACTATCCTTACATTCATGTAATCCTTAGAATGATATCACAGGAATGAGGAGAATTTACAGAATTTCCAAGTGTCTTCATTTAAAGCATTTTGGATTTTCAGGACTTTGGAATCACTAATGATGATCATAGGGACAATTTAATTAGAACCACGTGTACAGCTGTGTGCATATACACATACCGTTAACTCTCAAGCCAAAGGCAGAGACATGTATGGAGCTACAGCCATGTGTCAAACACAGTGCTTGCACTTTCCATTTATGGCTGTGAGGATTAACTAAGCAAACAAATGTACACAAAGAATGCAAAGGAGTCCCTGGTACATAGAGACTAAACTACTCCAAACTGTTCATTTTTTAAAATGGCATATTACGTGACTTAAAGACAACTCAGAAGGCTCCCTTGATTCTTTTGCCTGTAACACCGCAACCTTTCAATGGCTCTCTGCTTGCCCTGAAGTCCTGTAAACAGACCAGGTCAGCTGCATGTGGGATATCACTGGCCGCCTTGAACTTTTTATTTAGTAGTCCTGCCTTATGCCTCTGGCTGGATATAAGTTATTCAAAGGCAGGCCCCTGCATTACATGCTTTGTATCAACTGTGTCACTTTTCACATGGCACAGGCTTAAAAGATATTTGTTGATAAAATGGGTGAGAAGCAAAAAGAAAGAAAAGCCTGGAATAAATGCGAAGCATAACAAGTTTAGTTTCAGCCTCAATGCCTGATTGTCTTTAGGTCTCTGCTGATTTCAACTAGGCTTTGGGTTCAGGACCTCTTTCCTATGGTCATAGCAATTTGCTTCATAATATTGACCAAAGCCCTTTCTAAATAAACAAAATATTGTGATTCTGTTTTTCTTGCATATAATGTTTTATTTAATGGATCTCCTAGGAACTTCAAACACTAAACTATGGTTTATCAAAGAAATATATTAAGTCAGTGGGTCATTGGGATATATGTTGTTGCATAATGCTGGTCTTTTCTAGAAACATTAAAACCCTACCAGCAAGTGATTTACCTTTAGATTTTAATGTGACCAGTGAATAAGTGGAATGAATACAGAATCATCTGAGTAACCAATAGTTTGGGAATATGTCTTGATGATGCTGATGATGATGTAAACTGGATTTGTTAATTCTTGAATATCCCAGGGTAGTAACCTTTCCTAATTAGGCCCTGGTGGGGAGGCAATGTACTCTGCTGAAGCTACATTGTTGATGGAACTATAAAAGCGAAGTTTCAAGTTGACTTCCCCTGGATAACTTTCTTCTTAGCAATTGAGAAATTGCCCCGAGGGGGCAGAGGGGATGATGCCAGACTTCAGGGTGGAGTTTCAAGGTGTGTATATGGGGCCATAGTGTTGGTGTAGTTGGACACCAGCCTACAAGTCTTGCTGCTGTCCATCCTGCAGCAAGCCCCCTTCTGAAGCACTCCACAGCTCCTCACATGGAGGAGGTGACTCTGGCAACCATGACGGCATCTTCCGTAGACATTATGTATATGTGCCGCAAGACATGCATCTGTTGCTGGTGATGTCCATTATTAAGGGCATATTTGGAAAATGTCAGCCTGCACAGGAAAAGCAAGCAAAGATATCCATGCCTTTTTTGTTGTTATCATTGTTGTTGTTTTTTTTTTTGGGGGGGGGGGTTCTTTTGGCTTAGAACACAGGTTGACAGGAAACTTTCTGCAAAGGGCCAGGTAGTAAATATTTTAGGTTTTGTAGACCATCCAGTCTCTGTCCCAACTACTCAACTCTGCCATTGTAGCATGAAAGCAACCCCAGACGATAAGTAAATTAATAAGCATGGCTGCACTCCAATAAAACTTTTATTTGAGGAACTGTAATTTGAATTTCATTCCATTTTCACGTGTCACAAAATATTACTTTTTTTTTTTTTTTGCTTTTTCACAACCATTTTAAGATATAAAAAGCTCATGGCTGTTTAAAAATAGGTGGTTTGCTGACTCCTGCTTTAGAATATTCAAGAAGGATTTCCTTGAAATTTTACATTGTTGTTGAGCAGATGTAATTTCCCATCTTTACCTTAAGACCATTTTCTATATACCTGAGTGGATCATCACCTCCTATTAGCAGGGCCTCCCTAGGCTTGCCTACTTCACCTGCAGGCATTGAAACCATGCTGTATAATCTTTAAGGAGAGATATTGATCAGATCTGTAATGGTGTTTCTTTCCTTCTAGGGATAGGGTGGTCAGCTACACACTTGGCCGCAGGCTTCCAACAGATCATGTGAGTGGACAGCTGCAATTCCGATTTGAGATCACTTCCTCCATCCACCCAGGTATTTTTGGCATGAATTCATGTCTCGTCCTTGCGGAGGGTCAGTGTGGTTCCTTTCTCTAAAGTACAATAACCATGGTTCTCTCCAGACATGTCTTAGGTTTTGTGGTTCTCTCTCTTCTCCATTTGAGGCCCAGAAGCCAGTGATCTGTTCTGGAAGCCAGATTGCTGTCCCCTTGATTGAGAGGCTCCTCTTCATTCTGGTGACCCAAAGGTAGAGGGTAGACAGTGGAGTGGGAACTGAAAATGAGGCCAGTGTGGGTATGGAGCCATGTCTGGTTTATCATTTTACCCCCCGCACCCACATAGGAGGTGCTCAACAGATACTTAATCATTACATACATGAATGAATGGATGAGAAAATGAATGAATGTGACACATATCATATTAATGAAGAACTATTATTATCTAATGGATTTATCACAGGGCACAATGAAAAACATAAGTTGGAGAGAAAACTTCAGAATCATCCAGTGTCCAGTTTTTCAAGCCAAAACATTTTTCCAAATGAGAATGATGAGATGCCTCAGAATTGCACTTTTGCTCTTCTCCTGAACCCCCATACTAAGTGTAGATCGTGCTGAGAAGTAGCCAGTCCTTCCGGGCCACATTTATGACTTGCTGTTCAAGCTAATGAGACTTTGAAAACTCAAGGTCTGGAGTTTATCACTGCCCACTCATTAAAGTCCAGTGTACCTGTCTATGCCCAATATATAATGACGATTGTAAGAAAACATGCTGACTGTTCGGTCCTTTCACTCAGCCTTTTCTTCATCCTGAGAATAAAATGGACTCTTCCTCCACTGTAGAAAAAAAAAAAAAGAGGCCTTGTGGCTCACCAAGAGAGATCATTCTGCTTCAATGAGTCTATTGCACTAGTGCTTTTGAAGTGGGAAGTTCACACTGGGCTGGCATCCAATAGATAAAGCACTTGGGGGAAGGAAGATGTAAACAGTGGTGGCCGCTCCTTGAATGGTTGCTTGATGTAGGGACCTTGTTTCTTTTCCATTGCAACCACCTCCAAATATCGGAAACCCCCGGGGCTGAGCTACTGAAGGCCCTTGGCCGCTCCCCTCAGCTGGCCATTTTCTCCTCTGTAGTTGCTAAGAACCCAGCTTTCCGGTTCTGCCAGCTGGGGACCCAGCCAGAGGAAACACTCTGAGCAAGTGTTAGCCTTGCCTGCCAGGCGCAAGGCCGTCTAAACCCCACGGCCTCTCTGCTGTGTTCCCCGAAGCCAGCGTGCTGAGCGCCCGCCATGTGCCGGGAACTGGGTAGTTCTAGCTCTGCATAGTTTTACCCAAACTATGAATTCCCTTGAAACAGAATCCTGATCTCTATCCCAATAGCAAATTGTCATTAGCGGAAGGAGCAGTCCGTAAGGGTCCGCTGCAGCGGAGCCCTGGCCTGCGGGAAGCCCTCCAGCCCCGCGTGCAGCCGCCGCACGCCGGGGCCCCTCAGCACGCGTGCACGGCGGGCACACTCACGACCCGCCACGCGCTCTCCCTTACACGTGCCCTTTCCTTCTCGCCCGCAGATGACGAGGAGACGTCGCTGAGCGCCGAGCCCGAGCCCGCGGACGTGCAGGACAGCCCCGCGAGCAGCCGCGGCGGGGAGCCTCCCGGCGGGGCGCCGGGGCCCCCGGGCCAGCAGGGCGGCGCGGCGGACGCTGCGGGGAGCGGGAGCCCGGAGCCGGCCGCGCCGCCTGAGGGAGCGGCCGGCGGCGGCGGCGAGGCCGGAGACGACGGCGCGGGCTGCGCGGGAGCCGCCGGCTCTGGGGAGCTTCTGGGCCCGGGGCGCGAGGGCGCCGCGCCCGCCCCGAGTGCGGGAGGACCGGCCGAGCGGCTGGAGGCGGGCGGGGAGGCGCCGCCCGCGGGGCTGCGGGACGACGGCGGCGGCCCGGGCGGCGCCGCGGAGCCCGAGGCGGAGGGAGCGGCCGCCGAGAGCCGCGCGGGGGGCGGGGAGCAGGCGGCGGCGGCGGCGGCTGCTGAGGCGGCGGCGGAGGGCGACGTGTCCGCCCTGGGGCAGGGGGAGCACAGGCTGCAGCTGCGGGCCTCGGCGAAGCGGAAGAGCAGGCCGTGCTCCCTGCCGGTGTCCGAGCTGGAGACGGTGATCGCGTCCGCCTGCGGCGACCCCGAGACCCCGCGGAGCCACTACATCCGCATCCACACGCTGCTGCACAGCCTGCCGTCCGCCCAGGGCGGCGGCGCCGCGAGCGACGACGGCGCGGACGAGGAGGCCACGCTGCGCGACGCCTCCGAGAAGGAGGCGCCGAGCGAGGCGGACACGCTGGCCGCCGCGCCGCCGCCCGTCGGAGAGCGCGGCCCCGCGGACGGCCTGGGCGCGGACGCGGACGCGCCGCCCAGCACGGGCAGCGAGAGCGACTCGAGCCCCCGGCAGGGCGGCGGGCACAGCTGCGAGGGCTGCGACACGTCGTGCTACAGCTCGTCGTGCTACAGCAGCTCCTGCTACAGCGCCTCGTGCTACAGCCCCTCGTGCTACGGCGGCGGCAGGTTCGCCAGCCACACGCGCTTCTCCTCCGTGGACAGCGCCAAGATGTCCGAGAGCACCGTCTTCTCGTCGCAGGACGACGACGACGAGGACAACAGCGCGTTCGAATCCGCGCCCGACTCGGCGCAGAGCCCGGAGCTGGACGCCGAGGCGGCCGACGGCGCGGGGCCGTGGCCCGACGAGCCGGCCGCCCCCGCCGGCGGCGTGGCCAGAACCGGGGAAGGGCTGGAGGCCCCCGCGGCGGGGCCAAGCCGCCGCAGAGAAGGTTAGCCCGCCCGCGGGTCCCCGGGGTGTGGCCCCGGCGGGGGTCCCCGCGCGCCCCCACGCCGCGTGAGAGGAGCGGGCCCCGGGGGGGTTGCTGGGCCGCGTGCGCCTGTCCCGTCCCCGTCTGTGTGCGTGTGTGTCTCCGTGTATGTAAGTGTCCGCGACTGCGGAGGGCACACACACACCGAGTCACGACCAGAGCGCCCACGTGAGTGTGCACTCGTACGTGTGCGTCCGTTTTAACTAACCGTTAGAATTGCTCAGCGTACGTGTGGACCCTTCTAGGCTTGACAGTGACCAGAGCACCAAAGATAGGGTCTCGTGAGAGAAGCAGAAAATACTCCTCAGCCCTCGGCGGATAATGTGTTAATATCTGCTAACTTCCCAGAACATCCTGAAGATTAGCCATAAATGTTAAGATCAGTTGAAAGAACGTTGATTTTACCTCTGCTTTAGAATTTAACTCAGCTTGTGTACATACGGATATGTATAGCTTACATATATTTGTTATGATTTCTGTCTGCTCAGTTCTCGTTATTGTTGGTTTGGTTTGGTTTGCTTTTACTGTTGTTCAATCCAAAATCAAAAACATCCACTCATTTCTCTCATCCCCACTCCTGCCTCTGGCAACCATCAATCTGTTCCCTTTTTTCTTGAAAAGCTACAAGACGTTAATGAAAGAAATTGAAGAAGACACAAATAAATGGAAAGATATTCCATACTGAGGGATTGGAAGAATCACTATTGTTAAAATGCCCACAGTACCCAAAGCAATATTATTGCAAGATTGCAAGATTCCATGCAATCTTTATCAAAATTCCAATGGCATTTTCCATAAAAATAGAACAGACGACTCTATAATTTATATGGAACCATAAAAGACCCCAAATAGCCAAAGCAATCTTGAGAAAGAAGAACAAAGCTGAAGGCATCAGGCTCTCTGATTTCAAATTACATTACCAAGCTATAGGAGTTAATTATGGTTCTGTTTTTTTGTTGTTTTTTTGTTTGTTTGTTTTGTTTTGTTTTGTTCTGGCTATTTTGGCTAATGGAAGGAAAAATAACGGGAATTCGTAAATCACTTTGTTTCAAGTGGGATTCTAACCTAAAAGCCTCTACCTTCAGGTTTAAAATGTAGTCTGTATTTTAACTAAAGATGTTTCTTCTTAGTCATACCTGTGGAATCATATATAAAATTAACTCACATTTCTTTATCCAGAATTGGGAACCATCTTCCAGTCAAGTGACAGTGACATGTGGGATATAATTCAAAGGTCACATAATAATATGAAATAATTCAGTTGTTTTAAGAGCGAAAACTATAGATTCTGCTATTTTTCTGTTCTACTGCTTATATTTGCTTCCAAACAAAGGTGATGTCTATAGATTGTAAGCTCATCAAGGGCCAGAACAGTATTTTCTTTATGTTTCATTCTAGCATCCACACAAATGCCTGGCATCTGTGAATTTTTACAGAAACCAAAGTGAGCACAAAAATTCATCCTGAGTATTCAGCAGTGCCCAATTCTACATTTCAGAAAGTGGTACGTGGTAAAAGGAGACGTGCGAAGAGACTGGTAAAGAAAGAGAAACAGAGAGGAAGACCATAGTGGCATACAGTAGGGAAAGGCACAATTGAAAATGGGATGGACCATTCCTGTCTTTAATGAGGATGATTTGAGTCCCTTTGTTCTGGGCCAGATGCTATATGCTGAGCACAGGGAGATGGATCAATGTCAGAAACTGTGAAGGGCGCTCAGCAATTATTAACAGAATTAAAAATAATTGTAGTATAAGGAGATTTGGGGATATACACATAAAGGGTGCAACTAGAAGCTGGCAGGGATATTTAGTCCCGAGGTCGGCAAACTTTTTCTGTAAAGGGCCAGATGGTAAATATTTCAGTCTTTGTAGATCAAGAGGTAAAATCAAGCAACCACTCTTCTCACCAAAGGCTGCCTTTTTTTAAAAAAACAGTTTTACATTTAAAAATGTAATTAGCTCAGAGGCATATAAAAACAAGGCCAGATTCGTAGTTTGTCAACCTGCTGCAGCCTGTGGTGTATATTTTGACCACTATGTTGGAAGACAACCCACATGTGGTTAATTGAAAATTGGCTCAGTCTACAATTGCCTTTATATAAAGGCATTACAAAAACAAAACAAAATACTGCCCATGCCTTTGAGGGACTAACAGCCCAATGGGAGAAACCTCATTAACACAAAGGACAGGAAAACATTTCAAAGCCATAGTGGAAGTCTTTGCAGGGAAGTTTCTAAAGGCATTTCTGAATTCTGCAGACTTTAAAAATCTTTCTTTTAATGTTTTATTTATTTCTGAGAGAGAGAGACAGCACGAGCAGGGGAGGGTCAGAGAGAGAGGGAGATACAGAATCTGAAACAGGCTCCAGGCTCTGAACTAGCTGTCAGCACAGAGCCTGACACGGGGCTTGAACCCACGAACCATGAGATCATGACCTGAGCTGAAGTTGGCCGTTTAACCGACTGAGCCACCCAGGCGCCCCTTGAATTCTGCAGACTTTAAACTCAAAAGAGGTTAAGAAGCACCTACAAGCTTCACTCAGGTGGTTGCAAGTGGCAACCTGAAGATTCGTCCAATCTCACGAAGGCAGGGCATATGTTAGCACATGTCTTCTTCGCAGCCCGTCTTCTCCCCTGTCAGCAGTGAGCCCCTGAGCTACCTGTGTCAGTGATGTGGTTCTGTCCCTCACTGGCACATGCTCCAAGAAAGCAGGGCTTCACCACAACCCCCATGATATTTGCACAAGATCTTCTTCCACAAGAATCGCTAGTGTCCCTTTACTGTGACTTCAAAGATTGCAGATTCTTTCAGTAAGTTAGCCACTGTACACTTACCATACCCATGCCCTCAAAACTGTGTCTGCAGCAATTTACGGAAGATGTGTTCTGTATGTAGTTTTTGTGCTTTTTTCCCCTCTGTAAAAACCTCCTTTTTAACCACAACATAAAATATTTTTTTTAAAAAAACTGTCCACAGATCGAATGAAAAGAGCAATATAAAGTTGCGATTTGAGCTTGGGCCCTGGAGTCAGGCCTCCTGAGTTTAATTCAGCCCCACTACCTCCTGGCTGTGATACCCAAATCGAGTTACCTGAATGCTCTATGCCCTGGTGTGAAGTGGGTGCAGAGGTAGAATCTATTTCAAAGGGTTATGGGCAGGGTTAGATGAGATGATACATATGAAGCACTTGGCTCTCACCGAGTGAGGGTGCTCCCAGGCAGATAAGTGGTGAGGCTAATTCTAAAGTGGAATATGCTTCCTTCTCAGGGATTCTAGCAGGTCTGAGCACTTGCTTTGTGTTTGAGGCAAGGGTGAGTGTGTGGAGCCGTGGCCTCTGCAGAACAGAATCGCTTGCTGCTTCGTGCGCTGCATCCATTCAGTAGGCTGAGTTGCGCCCGTCACATCATTGCATTTGCTTGGGGTTCACAAGCAGGTGGGGTCAGCTCCATTAACCCCAGCAAGCGGCAATATTATGTTCCCACTAGCTTGGAGGAGTAATTAACCTGATTGGTTGAATTAATTACGAGAGGTAAGTTTGTTGTTCTTTTTAAGAAACCAAATTGAAAATGCAGCAGCTGGTGACATAACAACTGTGCCATTGCTTTTTCGTTTCTGACACAAGACACATAAAAGACAAACATGAGTGTGAGATCCTCTAAGAGCAGAACCCCTATCTGACGCAGGAGTTGGTTCACAGCAGCTGTGCCCTGAGACTCTACCCCAGGATTCGAGTCACATACCAGTTTGCACAAGAAACCATACTGTATACTTAACATTTAGAAGGACCCCTTGTTCCTGAATACACCCGTTTCTGCTTTACAGTTAGCTCTAGGAATCAAACTGCTAAATTAAACCAGCCTAACTCCCTTCCTAATTCATTTTTTTAATCAGTTTTATGGATCCAGAATGAGAAGAAATTACCATCCTTTCCATGTATGGACAGTCCAGGAAGTATTTGAAATTTGAGATCCCATAAAGATTTTAACACCGTTTTTCAGTTTCTATCCTTTTTGACCCAAGGGTTAATGGAACACTTAGTATTTGGATCAGCCATCGAGGGCAGAGAAAGGAGAAGGCCTGACCTTTGTCCTCTGGCTAACAGGGGCTATTTTGAGACAGCCAGGAGTGTGTGAGCTGGAGGGATACTAGTCTGAATGGTCTCGGTCTTACGGCCCTTCTAGTTCTCTAAAGGTCAAGAGCAATTGCCTCTGATGGTGTGCCCCAAACAGCTGGTGATTTGGCCTGCCTTCTACATAGCCACTCTCAGGCAGTATTACCAGGACCTGAGGACGCCCTGAGATAGGAACATCATTTTAGGACATTGTTCAGTCCATCATAAGTGTGACTGACAATAATATTAGCTACGTCGATAATAATTGAGGCATGTGTTCTGTGGATATGTCTATTTCCAAAATCTCTCCATGTCGATCTTTCTTCCTTCTATCCCACTTCTGTGTTTCAAGTTTTTCTGTCTCAGTCTTCCTGCCTCTTATCTACTTCCTTCGTCTTTTGTCCTTTTCTCTTTCCAGAGCACCCTGACTTGTCTGGTTTTTCCTCAAGACTATCTGGGACAATCCCAAGATCCCATAGCTGCTTGGCTCCCCACCCCAGCCACTAAGCTCCCATACTACAGGAATTTGCCTTCTTGGCCCACCAATTTCTCAGCCCCATCTTGGAAAGTCATCATCTAAGAATCTCATTCCAAAATCAAAACCTGAAGAACAGCCACTTAGCAGCCCTGTGATGAAACCTATCCAGATAAGGACCTATGGGTTTACATGGGCTCCCCAAGCTTTTATGGGACCTTAGAAGTACCACACCTCCCTCCAACAGGCCTGTTTCTTTAGCTGGGCTGAAGTCAGGCTCTGCTCATTTTCTCTTGTGTCCCTGTCATGATGTCACCTTCCCATGAAGAAAAGTCAGGTGGTTACAGAATCAGACCCTGATTCCACATATTGGTCTGTGTGGTACAGATCATAGTCATGAAGTCTGTATTTTCTTTGGGGTTTGAAACAAAAAAGCACCCTCTACTCCCTCTCTCACGAATGACTGTGAATGTAGCAAACTGATGTAAAAAACAGATTGCCCATCCTGGAAGCTTTTTCTTGTACTAGTTTGTTTTACAGTCATGCTGTTTTGATGGTGTTGCTACAGCAATGAGTGAATCTGAATGTCTTGACTATCTTGTCCGTAGGTGAATGTCCTATACTCCATAATTCCCAGCCAGTAAGCCAGCTTCCTTCCTTGAGGCCTGAACATCATCACTACCCAACAATCGATGAGCCTCTTCCACCAAGTAAGCTTTAGTTTTTAAAATCTATGTCTTAATTCTTCCTATCAAGTCTAAACAGGTCAGTATGAACTTGTATGTACACATCCAAACTCTTCCCCAACTCCATACCTCACACTGTGATCAAAAATCAATATGGCACCTACTATAAAAATGGGGTGTTTCTGACTAATGGTTTCAGTATGTGGTCTTGAAGACATAACCCAGGACCTTCAGTGCCCCCTCACTTTCTAAAACAGAGAGTATTTCTTTACAAGACTTGGCTAGTCCTTGCAAACTGTACCTGACCTTTAAGTCCTAAATTTTACTATTTTATATTTAAAAGTTCACAGATCAAGATAGAATAATTCTGTTGTTCTCCATTGGATCTGTTATGTCACAGGCACCTCCATATAATGAAATATTCAACCCAGCAGGATGCAAGAACTTGCGTTTTCCTTACTGTTAACTTTCATCAATAGGTGACAGTCTCAAACTTCTTCTGTAGTTCTTAGGGGTTTCCAGAAAAAAATATTCATCTTTAGGGATGCTATGCCACATCATTTTCTCCTGGTAACTGCAAAACTAATTATTATTTAACTAATCATTTGAACTTGGGGGAACTCATTTAATATCTCAGAGACTCAGTTTTCTTATTTGTGAAGCATAGCCTTAATTTTCTCATTAGCTAAATGCTAGGTCAGGACTAGGTAGTCCCTAGATAATCATTCCAGCTTTAACCTTATAATACTACATGATAATACATTTCTAAGAAGGAACTGATCCCCCATACATTATGCATTCACCTAGCATTATATGTGTTCATGAATAATTCTAGAACATCTCTGTTTTGGTTTAAGCTTGTTTTTCATAAAAATGTAACCTTTAAGATTTGATCGATTTTACAACTACAGAATCTTTCCAGGTTGCAAGGAATCTATGTTTCTTTACATTCTTTGTGCTTACATCAGTAGGTTACAATTTTCGTAAGAAAAAACCCTTATTCCCTAATTCATTTATTCTTGATAATGTTATATATTTTGCATTTACACCAGTCTAGTCCTATTCAGTTGTAATTTATCACTGACAAAGCAATAAATACCTTGAATATGTAAATATTTTTTAAAAACACCATATTTATTTGGGAGAGTTCAAGGCAAATATTGTGTTCTTTAACTTTTGATACCTGATTTCTTTATACATTGATTTATGGATAGTCCACAAATGACTAGTAAAATTTAAGTGTCACCATACTTTCTACTTAGCACTTATGTAAAAATAGCTATACCATGTTCTCTCCAGTAAAGGAACACTTTCCACACAATAAATAACCTACCAATACATGTATGCATGAATTGACTCCCAATCCATGCAAGAGTAATAACTAGTTTTATATACAAACCTTGTAAATAATTGAACATTAAGTCTATTTTAAAGAGTTGATTTATACAAGCTGCTTTCAGTAATGACAACAAGCTCATGGGTTTCAGTTCTCTGTTCATGCAACACTGAAAAAATACTACAAAGGCTGGTAGTGAAGCCTTACCACAGAATTTTCTTAGATAGTCTCAGGTAGTACATGGATAACTTCATTACTGATATTCATTCACCAAATATTCATTAAATCCTTGCTCTGTGTGAAGTACTATTTTAGGTAAACAAAACATACCAAAGGTCCCTGCCATCATAGAGCTTATAGTCTGACGGAGACCTATGACTAATAAGAAGAGTGAATGAGGCAATAGTATAACATGTTAGATGGTAAGAAATGCTATGGAAGAGCATTACCATGAACAGAGCATGGTAAGGGGGATTTGGAGTATGTGGTGGTGGCTGGTTTACCATTTTAAATAGGATGGTCAGGTAGGCTTCATTGAGAGGCAACATTTGAAACTAGGCTTAGAGGAGGTAAGAAGGTTATCCTTGGGGAGGAAGAGCCTTCTGAGAAAAGAGAACAGCCTGCCTGGTAGGTTTGAGGAACAGCGAGGATACAGTGTGTCTGGAGCAGATTTAGGAAGGGAGAAAGCAGTGGATGAAAAGGTCAGGGAGATATCAGGACCTGGATCACTTAAGAGCTTCGGCTCTTACTCTGGATAAAGGGGGAACATTGTAGATGTAGGTCAGAGAAATGATATTCTCTGACTTAGGTTTCTGTGATTGCTCTGCTGGCATTAAATTTGGAGAGAGAGGACAGAAGCATGAGATCCAACATAAGGTTATTACCGTGGCCCAGTAAGAGGCAGTGGTGGCTTGGGCCAAGGTGGGAGCAGTGGAGGTGGCGAGGAGTGGTCGAGTTTTAGACAGTATATTTTGTTGGTAGATTCATTGACAGATTAGATGTGATGTGTGAGACAAAGTTAGGAATCAAGAATGACCTCAAGAATTTTAACCTAGAAGGATAGAATTGCCTTCAACCAACATGGGAAGGTAAGGCTGATGATAGAGCAAGTTTGGGTGGGAAAGATCTGAAGCGTGGTTTTGGTCAAGTTATACTGGAGATGTCATCCAGCTAGTGATGTCAGGAAGGCAAAGGGATGTGTGGCTAAAGTTCAAGAGAAAGGTCTAGGCTACAAACATGGTATTGCATTTGTTAAAGTAAAAAGAAAAAAGGGGGAGGAACAGTTTCACAGGTTTTTATTGGTATAATAACTAAAGATAATACATTATTGGGCTCTAGGCTGTTCCTAGACTTCATGGAAGATATATACATCTGTATCTTATAGGTCTTTAAGTCACAAATGAATAACCCTAACTTGTCCCACCATCATGAACGTAATCACTGGCAGGAATCTATTTACACAACGCAGTCCCAAGTCCATCAGCATATGCTGAGGCCTGAAGTTCTGTCTTTCTTTACACAATATGTGAAAGTAAATTCTTTACAAAGCAACCCAGAAAATACACTTACAATCTATAAGTACACTTAGCTATTACTTTCTGAATATTTGTAAGAACTTAGCAGTATGCATTTGTAATTAGCACACCTGGCTTGCCATCTTTTTCCATGAGAGATTTGGAAATATGGAAACTTGTGCAGCGAAGTTGTTATTACCACTGCACCATTCTCTAGTTTTTCCCTTAGTGAATTTATGAAGAAATTCAGTCTTTGAAGAAAGACTTCCTTTACTATGGGAACCTGGAGGGCGAAGGCATTAGTTTCTCAGCAGTGTGTCCAGGGAACTTGACATAGTGTCACTCATAGGGAGTGTTGGGAAGAGGGTGTTCAATTGAACCAGATACCACAGTACTTTTCAAAGATTAATGTTCATTCTTAGTTGGAAGATGGTCATGTTGAATTCAAGAAAAAAAAAATGTCCAATTGCTACTAATTTGGGAATCACTGAAATTCCAACATTAACCACCTTGTAGTTTCATATATGCACAATTTCATCAGTGAGCTAATTAACATTTACAACTAACAGTTGAGCTGGATTATCTAGTAGTCAATTTCAATCAACACCTCCTAGAATATAGTTTTACAATCTGACTGCGCTTTCCTTCAGTTTGTCTTAGATAAGGTAAATTTGCTGTTTCCTGGTATTTTGGCTTTCATTGGGCATTATTAGACAATTCCTCAAGTAAATGTCAGACATAAGCCACTATCATCACAAACAGATGTACCATGCACATACAGAACCAAAATTATACCAAATACATTGATTTTTTTCATTAAAAAAAATTGAGAGTTGCTATGTCATTACCTGAATGATCATTTTTTAATAGAATTGTTAATATCTGACCTACTCCCAAAAGCTATGGCTTTTCTCACTTAAAAGGCTGAATAATTTTCCTCCATTTGCAGCCATTTTTGCTTTGTCTTCTTTAATCAAATGCATTTTTCAGCATAACTTTATCATGAAGCTGTTATTTCCACCACGTTTTCATATGTGGACTCCAAAAGCTTTTGCCCATTGCTGTACAGCAGACATCGCTCTTGTGTGTGAAGTTCAGATATGTATGTATTATTTCCAGCTCTCCCAGTTTCGAGGACTTTTCCACCCACCCACCCCGCCCCCAAATGTATTATGTAGTGTATCATCCATGCTTCTACATTTTAGTCTATTGGTTTTGAAATCTGAGAAGTAAAGGAATTTATCTTTATCTTGGGCTCCCTCTGCTGTTTGCAATGGTTATTTATCAACAAAGAAGTACTTAAGAGGTTGATGTGTGTTAATAGTTGTTATTGGTTTTGTTTTGTTTTGTTTTGTGAAGAGATATTTGGCAGTCACAGGTGGGTTGAATATACACTGTGAACCTACAACTTGTCCAAAGGATGGTTTGAAGGGATCAAATCCGCCCATTCTTCTTCTCGAGGAATGGCAATCAATCAAGGTTGCTAAGTATTGAATAGAGGTCATCTGAACTTTCAGGTACAGTATCTTAGAACTGTAGTTAAAGGTGTTTGAATGTGAGGGCCATCATTCCCTCACCCACTAGTTGCTGGCCCTCAGATTTAGCAAAAAAAGTTCGCCAGCATCAGACTGTGCACTCTCAGTGCAGGATGCTTCCAGGCTTCCAGCTGTAGGTTAGGTAGCCAACAAGATTGACGGGATGGAAATAGTTAAAGGAAGAAATAAAGGAAACCCCAGACTTTCTCTTTAGGAAATACTAGACTTTTTAACACAGGTCATACTTGAGGAAACACAATTACTGTTCAAAATGACCCAGCAGAGAGGCTGACTCCAGGAGGCTCTCTTTTGGAATGCCAGTTCAGTACCCATACCTCGGAGGTCATGGCAGGTGCTGCAGACAGTGTCTGGCCTTCTGCAAGTAACCAACAGGGAGTTCTTCCCGCAGAAGACCTAGAAGTGGTATCTGTTTCATGTGAATCAGTAGTTTGTCTTTGATTTTTCTTTTTGCCTTTTTATTACACACTAGACTGGGAAGCTCGCATCGACAGTCATGGGCGGGTCTTTTATGTGGACCACGTGAACCGCACGACCACCTGGCAGCGGCCGACAGCAGCAGCCACCCCTGACGGGATGCGGAGATCAGGGTCCATCCAGCAGATGGAGCAGCTCAACAGGCGGTTGGTGATCAGCATGCAGTGAGCCCCTGTGAACCACTGGGAAAGGAAAATGGCAACCAGAGAAACCCCCTCTTACACTTTTCTGCTCAGTTGTATGAGGAGACCGGGAAGTCATTATGTGTCTTAAGAAACCCATTTACAGTAGGTACTTGGAGAGCTAGACTCAGAATTTGGTGGCAGGAGCCAAGCTAAAGTCTGAATGTCATTTAAACACAGACAATCCTCTGAACTTCTTGATGGCACAAGCTTGAAAATAGGTGTTCTTAACCAAAGGCCCTAGAACCACCCTGATATTTACTGAGGGTGCCCCTGTCCCATGAACCCTGCAGACATTGTATGCAAAACTACGCATGGATGCACATTTTTCTGTCTGACAGGTCCATATGAGACTCTTGAAAGGGTCCAGAACTCAAACAGCTGAAAACATGTCAAGGATGGTTCCACAGAATACTAAAAAGTACCTGGAGGAAAAAAAAAAAAACAACTATATCATGAATCACTGTATTCATGTTTACCCTAATGCCCTAATTACTATATATTCAAAAATAATAATTCCTAAAAAGCTAAAAAGTAATTCCTAAAATTTCTTAGAAAAAGAAATCTTTAAAAACACTTTTAGAGAATTACGTTTTCTAAAAGCTAGACCCTTTCTTGTCAACTTGTAAAGATGTCATTTTGTTTTTAACCTGTAAATGAGACCCTACATAGCATTTCTCTCATGCTGTAAGCTAGCATGAGCATCATGTGACCTCTTGCTGCTTTAAGGCCAAAAACTGCAGCTTTGGGATAGTTTCAGTAACCAGAAATGCAAACTTCAGCTGTCTCCACATGCCGTATCATTAGCATGAAATAAAGGAATGGTTGAGAGGAATTATAAAGAATAAGGAACCCCGTGGGCCTGGGGGACACACCTCTTGATAGCAGATTTCCTTTGGAAATTTAACTATATCAGCCAGAAAAATAAAGTGGACAACTTAGTCCTATGAAAAAATACAGAGACAAAAAATTTGAGCTTCTAGTTACTGTTGTCCACAGAGCAGCATACTTTGGTAAAAATCACCACCATTCTTTAATTGCTTGAGCATTTGGAAGACATTTACTTTCCACTTTTTCTCCATCAGTAGCAGAGCATTTAGTCATTAATGGGAACCAGAAAGGATTTTCACTGGTAGTGCATTTCCTTACAGTCATTCCCACAGAAAGAAAACACATTATAAGAACCTGTGATAATCCAGTTTTATTAGATATGAATGCACCAAAACTCCAGGGAGAGTCCTTTCATGAGGATTGCAACCAAACTCCTATAAATAAAAATGTAGAAGACCCAGCAAGCTCATTTTACGTAAAGCCCAGGTTGAGATTCCATAGGCAGAAATAGCTTCTAGACCTGTCTTGCCAGAACAGAGAAGCTGAAATTGGGAGAGCGTCACCAGGCTATATCTATGAGCGGTGCAGTTTGAGCTCTAAAAGGAAACAATAAATCAAAGCAGAAGTAAGCACCTTGACCTCTGACATAAAAATCCATGAAAGTTCATCATGTTCTGGCTGTATAATACAAAAACTAGTCCAAATCCATCCTGAAAAAGGCCTCTAGAGAAGTTTTGAGGGCTTTAATGTGTAAATTCATGGAGCTGAACGCACTGGGAGAGGCAGCCAGACTTTGTGGAATAGTATGTTGTGTTTTGCCGCATCCATCTGGACAGATAAAAAGAAAAGGAATTTAACGGTTTGAGAAAGCACTTACGTCTTGTGAAAAAACCTACTTAGGGAAGGAAAGGTCAGATAACCTTGAGATAAGGATTCAGGCTCTTCAACATTTATCTTAACCTACTGCTTTCAAGCATGTACAGTTTTCAGTGATTTGGCATGATAGCAGCAGCCACAGAAGTATAATGCCAGTCTTTGCCCCATCACGGATGTGATCACTCACGGGGCTCAGCTTTCGATACCCTGCCGTTGGTTATCAGGAGGAATTTACAGCCATCACTGTCTCACAGCAAAATGGGAATATTCTCAGTATTGTGAGAAGGTGTCGGGGAGGAAGACTTTCTTTCTTCCTTTTCAGGTTCGTGACGTAAGAGTAACATGAGAAAGGCAAATTTAATTTCTTATGGATGGGAGCACCTAGAAATATGAGGCCCAAAGAAATGACCAAAGCAGCTTTTGTATCTTCTAGAGAAAGAAACATTTTTGGAGGGTTTAAGACAAAAACGTTTGAGGTTGGGGTAGTAAATTAGCAAAGAGGAGCAAGGTTTGTTTACACAGTCACCTCCACCCTGATTCCCTATCCCTGGCGATGAGGATGACTTCCACCCTCCAGGTACAGGAAGGATGCCCTTCACAACGGGAATTCATGTCCTGCGCTCAGGAGAACAGAGGAGGGTCAGCGTGTCCTGCGCTGACCAGTTTTTAAGTAACTTTAATTCAAAATAATCAATAGGCCACAATGGCATATTTTAAGGTGTCCTGTCCTGGACCCCATCAAAGGAGTTTCCCTGGACTCCTGACAGCATGATTATGAAAGTTAGGTGTGTTTGTGCAAGGAGACACACACTGAGAAATGCAGAATGCACAAGGCAGCCTGTGGTGACCACATTCAAACTTGGCCATTCCCCCAACTCAGCACACCCTTCCCAGCCTCTATGGCTTTGCCATGTGCTCCTTCCGCAGAGATGTCCCTCAGGGTCTGCCTTCTACCTGGGATACATCTCCATTCTGTAAAAACTCTATGAGAACATCGTGTGGTCCCAGAAATCTTCCCAGAACCATTCAAACAGAGCCGGTGGTCATCTCTCCTACAACCCTATGACTGCCTGCCTGCCTCTAGCACAATCCTTACCTTCCACCTCATTCTTCTGTCTGTCCCTGCCGACACCTAGCATGGTGCCAGAGTTTAACAGGACTCAGTGGAAAACAGTTTCTCTAGTTAATTCTTACACTTTCAGAATATCCTGAATTAGTTAAATCTACCTTCATAGATACTTATTGAGCAAGCAGAAAATATAAATATGTATTCTCATCTTAAATAATCAACTTAAGTTTGGTTTTTTAGCTATTTGGATAAAGTTTTTCTATTATTAAGAAATGGAATTTTTAAATAGGAAAAAAGGTGATGTATAAATAACTCTTCTACCCCAAGGTTTACCTTTGAAAAAAAATCTTATCTGTCTTTAATCTCCATGTACATGCATAGGCCTTGCACAGTTGTGATGATAAAATGTAGTTAGTTTTATATTCACATTTCACTTGCCACACTATAAGCATTTTGCTATTGCTACCTAGTCTTAAGAATACCATTTAGATGGTTGTGTAGTATTCCAATGGATGGATGTACTCTAGTTAATTTGGATGTTTTCCTCACTGCTTTTTATCACTATTTTGGATGAGGCTAAAAGTCCTGTTAAATATTAGTATTGTCTTATAGTAGAGTGTTTCCTTGGGGTTCTAGTCCCAAAAGAACAGGCTGAGGGGAATCTCTGTGGTTGTGGTATTTGATATTGGTGCCTAAATGTTTTCTAAAGTGTTTCCGTGGGTTCACTCTGCCAGCAACAATAGCTTTACTTCTGCCTCAGTGTGTTTTTGTTGACTTAAGAGGCACTCCTGGTATTTTGGTTCTTAAATTTCACTTCTTGCCAGGAGGGTCAACTTTTGTTTCCTTAAGCTTTTCTTTGACCAAGTGTAGCTCCTCCCAGGAGAGTTGTATGTTCTTGGGCTTTATTTGGTTCTTGTTTGCTTTGGCTTGGTTTCAGAAGGTTTTTTTCCTTGTTTGGGGTTTTGTGCACCTGTGAGGGGAAGGCTGTTCATTTACAAATTAGATCTTCCAGCTGTCTTTCTTACAAATTTCCCTAAACTCTTTATATAAAATTTGGCCTTTTGCTGGGAAAAACAAAAAAATTGAGTGATGACACTGAAAGACGATTCTTGATGAAAAATGTAAGAGAACCTGCTTTCTGACTCCCCCTTTCATCTTTAAGCGGAGTAAGCCTCTAAGGCTGCCATCCTGCCCTTGCTGAGTGATCCCTCCACGCACTGCTGAGTGACCTGCTTCCCCAAAACTGTCCCTACACTTCAGCAGAGATCAGGGATGAGGTGTGGTACCAGGGAGTTGAGGCTGTTGACTCGGTAAGGCACAAGACAACCAAGGTTCAACTGAGGACACGGCACGTTGTGAAATTACTGACATTTTCATCATCAAATGAGATCGTAATTATTCATTAAGATTCTCTTCTGTGGTCACTGCTCTTTGGGAGGGAAATGTGAGGCTTCAACTTTATGTTTGTCTAAGCTCTGTCCTAATTGCGGAGTAACAACCCACCCAAACTTGGTAGCGTAAAACAATGATGATTTATTGCCACCATCATTATTATTACCATCATTGTTACTTGTCATAGTTCTCATGGTTGACTGGGTTCAGTGAAGCCATTCTCTCTCGGGGTATCTCATGGTTGCAGTAAGAGGGTGGCTGGGTCTCGTGACCCACATATCTGGAAGTTGATGCTGGCTGTTGGCTGGAACCTCAGCTGTGACTGTCAGCCAGAATACCTACACTTGGACTTCCCATGTAGCCTGGGTTTCCTCACAGAATGGCTGTGGCATTCCGTCACAAACTGTCCCTTATATTATTGTCAGTTGGTTAAGGTAGCCACGTGATTTTCCCAGGCTCAAGAGGAGGAGACATCATTCGACATCTTAAGAGATGAGTAATTAGGTTCTAGAAGAGCATGTGGAACTAAAACTATTATTGAACCATTTTTGGAAAATGCAGCCTGTTAGGAGTCATTTAGGGGACCCTTCCAACAGCATCTCCCTTGGTCTTTGGAGGGTGCCATTCCTCCCCTGGTCAAGGTTGCACACTTGCCGGTCCACTCTGTCCCTCCCACCATGGCGCACTCCCTGAGTTCCAACAGGGAGAACACCTCAGACAGCCATCCCACCGTCCCCACAATCTCCCGACCACAGACAGGTTGACGTGTTAAATAAACGTGGGTATTTCTCTGTATAATTCTTTGCTCGTTCTTGACTCTTCCATGTTTTCTTATTAGAGGCCTTCTCAGGAATGCCTCACAGTAACTGCCGCAGGCAAAGGTGTCCTCTGACAGGTATCAGGAGTGAGTGGCTGGGCCTCTCTAGATAAAACAGCAACGTAAAGAAAGCACCCAGTGATTCTTAAATGTAGATGTAGGTAATTCTACCTGAAAAACTTCTTAGAAATGCAGATTTCGAGTTTGCTTCGATATCTGTGATGCTAACGGTCACTTGGCTGATTCTCTCCCAAGTGGTCTAGTGATCACACTTGAGGAAAAAAATTCTTTTTGAAGGTCAGGGAAAGAAGTCACTGGTCTTCAGAAGCCCTGCCACAGCAGACCTTGTCTATAAGCAGTACGTCGCCCTCGCCCCGTGTCAGACTGCATTTGGTGACCTGGTTCTTCACTGTTCCCCAGACTCTCACCCTCCTCCTTTTCATGCCTCTTTCGCCCCCACTGGGCACAAGACTCATATAGCAACCAACATTCCCTTGGCTGTTGTCACTCGCATGATTTTCACGACCTCCAAGCCAAATGTCCAAATCCCCGCCAAATTTTCCCTCTCCGCCTGTCTTTCCTCCTTTTTAGTGTTGGCTCCTCCACCTGCCTTCACAACTGTGTCCTCTGTCTTCAACCTCCACACCTAGGCAGGCCCTGAGTCCTGTTGAGTCTACTTGTAAAAATCGCACAAATTCTATGGCTACATCTCTCTTGAATTTGGCTTTTTCTCCCATTGTGGCTGTGCCTTGAGGAAAAGGGAAGCTGAATCCTGGTCATGTACCTCAGTAGGCTGAAACACTGGGCAAAACAGAGGTCATATGGGGGAGGAGATGGGCTAGCTGGCGTGGAGGAAGGAGAGCAGAGGAATAACACAGCTAGACATCTGCCTGTAAAAGACGGTGTGAATTACACAGAGCAGGCTATGAGGGGCAGGGAGGTTTAGGAAATTTCTCTGAGGATTTTGGGGGCAGAGATAGGAGATCTTAGTATCCCTGCAGTGTGTGGGTGCCTCCCACCCAGCAGCATGCCTACAGACCCACCACAACCCACCATCCTTGTCTGGGTCCAAGCCTTTAGCACCTCCAGCCCAGACTGGTGTTGTGGCTGGTTCCCAGCTGCTCTCTCCAATTCACACTCTCCTCCTCCAATGCAGCCCCCACCCAGAGGGGGTCATCATCCTCAGTGCATAGCTCAACCTGTCTCTCTTTTTCAGCAGCTAGCCAGCCCCTACATCAGTGGTTCTCAAACCTGGTCCTTGGGCCAGCATCACCTGGAATGAGTTAGAAATGTAAACTCTTGCCTTCTCCCTCCCCAGACCTTCTGAATCTGAGAAATTCTGGGAGTGGGGGGAGGGGGCAGCAGTCTGTGCTTTAACAAGGCTGCAGGTGATTTGGATGCAGGTCAACTTGGCGACTCTGTGCCCAGAGAATCACATTCAAACTGTGGCTCGGGCACCCTGTCAGTGCTCCCCAATTCCCCCTCTGGTGCCCTAGTACTGCCCAGGAACCACACATCCTGATGCCACCCCTGTGCATCTGAGAGTCCCCCAGGGTGAACTCCTCTGTGCATGGCCGTCCATGTTCTTTCCCTACAAACTTCCCAAGAGGCTCACACTGACTTCAAAATATATACAGCTTGGGCAGGGTGCCTGGGTCGCTTTGTCAGTTAAGTGTCCAAACCTTGATTTTGGCTCAGGTCATGATCTGCTTTCTGGGATCGAGTCCCACATCAAGCTCTGCACTGTCAGCACGGAGCCTGCTTGGGATTTTCTCTGTCTCTGCATCTCTCTCTCATAAACATTAAATATATATATACAGCTAGGTGTTTCCTCATCTGCGTCTTACACATCAGGACAGTAAAGTCAGGTTGCTAGAGCCTTGGCTTACGTGCTGTCACCCTCTTTGTTCTGTCTCGACTGTGTATGTTTGGAAGGCGATATCCTATTCTCATCGTGACTTTGATCTAAGAGTCCAGGACACAGCCTGGGCATACTGGAAGAGTGAGTAAATATTTAGTAAATACCTGGAAAGGTGACTGGCCGATGACTGCCGACTGACTGAATCCCCAACTTGGGAAGAAAAATAAAATGAGCCTTCAAATCAGCAGAAACATGTATTTGGCAGGCAGCCATGGGTAAGCGTTCACTGTTTCCACAGTTCCTGCCCGTGGTATCAGTTATCTGTCGGATAAAAGTAAGTGAGCGGGACTGTTACTCTGGTTTGTAGACTCGTCACAATAATGTAGAAGTAATGTGATATCTTAGTTATTAACATTTAAATTACTTCCCAGACCGTTATTTTAGACCTGGCCGGGTTTTGTTTAATTCAGGGCAGAGGCTGTTTTTTGTGACTAGTTATCATTTGTGTTGATGTGTAAAAAGTCACCATACTTGAAACTCATCACAGTTTACAAAACAAAAAGAAGTGCAACCATCCGAAGATATTTGCCTTGCTAATTGTTTTGGTATCTTGTGGGAATTTTAAGCATTTCTTCCCTGAAGTTCAACAGATTTCTCCAGCTATCTGATTCAGCGCATCAGCCCCCAGCAAGCCAATAAGCAAAAGTTAATTCCTGTCTCCATTTTCTAATGCAAAGGTATCAAAATATTCAGCGCACCATTGCAACAGAGAGGCCGGAAGAAGATTCTGGAAGCCAAAGTTGTGAGCAGGTCGCAGCAGTAGGCAGCGGAGGCGGTGGGAGTGACTCAGAGGCTGACTCTTCTCAGTCAAGCTTAGGTATGGGAGGTGGGAGACCGAGACTCCTGGGATGGCATTCAGTGGCAGTGTGACAGAGAGTGTGAGCCTCTACTCTGCCTTGTGGGATGGTTCCTCTCACTGGGCCCTGGGAATGGAATGGGGGAGGTCAGGGTGGAGGGGGCTTGGTGCCAGCAGGGAGAAACAGACAGGAATTTCCCACCAGGAACATAAAGGAGAAGTGAATTCACAGTAAGAGAACTCATACTTGTGCATCAAGGCAATTTGTTCAGTGGTCTAATCATTTCTTGTTAAGTAAATTTATCTGTTGGTGTCCTAAGGATTTTCCACTTATAAATAAAACATGCAATGAAAATTCACAGTCTACTTCAAAGAAGCCACATGACAACACTGGGAATAATTATTTGTTTGCCTTTAGCATAAAATACAATTCCCCCTGAGGGAGCAACCTGGGAGTAAAGAGGTTTTCTGGAGAGTTTACCTGACACACTCTGCCCCAGAGCCTATTTACCTAATAATGTAGGCCCGGCATCTGCCAGGGGTCTGCTTTTCACGTCTCTGAATTTGCCTGAGTGGAACTCAGACAAGAACATTCGAAAGGCATAGGAGACTGCCTCAGCTTTTTGTACCTGTAACGACATAAGATTATCACAGTGACATCCTAATAATCCACTCTCTCTTAAATTGGGTTAAATGACGGCACATTAGAAGCTCAGAGAACAGCGTGAACAGCAGGCATGCGCCTCCCGTTCTGCCAGCTCGCAGCACCCTAACAGCCATGCAGAAGACTGGAGATTTCCGTGCGTCTACACAGTCCTGCCAACAATTGTAATTGCGTCCATTCTATTCATTTTACCAGATACGCCAGCTAAACTGATTGGCGTAGGTTTTTCTATTATTAATTTCTTCGACCTGGGAGAGATGTGGTAAAGTGGTCGAGTAGTTCAAAAGCATGAGGAAGACAGTGAATAGAAAATTTCTTTATGAGTTTGGTATCGGGTCCCTTGGCATTTGCTGTGTAACAAACTATCCCCAAGTGTGTAACTTAATTAATCCCCCAGCCCCGCATTTACCCACCAGGTGAGCCATTGGCGCTGAGCGGGACGGGGCTTGCGCTTGGGTCCTTGGTCAGCTATGGAATCCGCCCCTGGCTAGTTGCCCTGAGGGGACCTCAGCTGGGCTGACCGCACTGCGTGCTCTCGAAGTTTCTCATTCGCACTGGAGTAGACCAAGCTTATCCTCACAGAGGTGCGGCGTTCCCAGAGAGCGTGGGGACACACAGACTTCTGGAAACCCTGGCTCAGAACTGCCAAATCCTGTTTCTTAAAGCAAGGTACAAGGTTAGCTCAGTTCACCCAGGGGAGAGGCACAAGCCTAGCTCAGGTCACCAACGGGAGAAGGTGCGGTCTTGTGCAGGTGGGTGTGGATGCAGGGAGGGCAAGAACTGTGCTCCTTCCTGCAAACAACCGAGCTATGGTTAGCAACTCAGAATGAGAAGAATACGAAAAGCCATTGTAGTAAAACGGACAAGATGTTCAAGGACGTTGAGCCTAACTGAAGTTATGCAGGAGCTTTCTTCGGAAGCAGTGACTCTTACGTGGCACACACAAAGTGATACGACACCCGGGCCTATCACTGTGACACCTGATCAGATCACCATTCAGAACAACAGTCTGCCCCAGCTGCCTGGGTGGAGCTTGCATGCTGGTGTAGAAAGAAGCACTGTATCTGAAATGACTTTCTTCTGATGCATCCTTTGCTTTGCTTCACTTTTTTCCAGATCTGAGAAGAGAAGGGTCACTTTCTCCCGTGAATTCACAAAAAATCACCTTGTTGCTGCAGTCCCCAGCGGTGAAGTTCATCACCAATCCTGAGTTCTTCACTGTACTACATGCCAATTATGTGAGTGCTCCAGAACGCAGAGAGAGCCCACCCGGCTCCCATCAAACCCCAAATATTCCTTTGCAGAGCTGTTTGGTAGGATAAAGAGGTAGCATTTAACCCCCACAAGATTGAAAAAACAAAAACAAAACAGCTCTATCCACCATTTTTATTGTTAGTTTCCCAAAAAAGGAGAAAAGCTGGATTTGGCCATGCTTGTTGCTTCTTCAATATTGTTAGCCTCAAATGTATTCATATCAGTGAAAGTGGTTTGGAAGCAAGTACATGTTTCTCTTACTGTTAAAATTTTAAAGGAACAAGATTCTGAAGTTGACAGATTCCCTTCAGCCTGCATCATAGTATAAAATCACATTCATTAAAGAAATTTAGAAATAGATTTCCCTTAGATAAATATCTAGTTTTCCTCTTGATAAAATTAGTTGTTCAAGTATCATGCTTATGCTTAAGTTAAATTTGATGTGAGTTTTACATATGCAGTTTTTTCATTTCTTTTTTTTTTGTATTGTCAGGAAAGCAATGACATACTATCACTATATTCATTAATTCTTTCATTTGATGACAAACATTTTCTTTTTTTTTTTATTTTTTTTTAATGTTTTTTGTTTTATTTATTTCTAGGAGAGAGAGAGACAGCGTGAGCAGGGGAGGGTCAGAGAGAGAGGGAGTCACAGATTGAAACAGGCTCCAGGCTCTGAGCTGGCAGTCAGCACAGAGCCCGACGCGGGGCTCGAACCCACGAACCGTGAGATCATGACCTAAGCGAAAGTCGGACGCCCAACCGACCAAGCCACCCAGGCGCCCCGATGACAAACATTTTCTGTAGACAGATGTAGATCTAGGTGCTGGCGTCACAGAGACAGAGTGACACGTGAACCGCACAAGCTCCCCATGTTGTGGAGCGACAGACACGTACAAAGACCAGCCGGATGAGTCAAGACAGGGCCCGACCTCAGGAAGGAATAAAATTCTCTGAAAACACAGGAGATGTAACATAGGGGAGCATCCCTGACTAGGCGACTGCTTAACTGAGTCATAAAGATTGAAAAGGGACGGGAAGAAGCTCCAGAGAGAGGGAGAGAGGACATAGCTGGGGGGTGGGTCTGTGAGGGTGGGATGTGGTAACCTGCAAAGCAGGGAAGAGGGGCTGGAGAATGAGTAGCAAAACGCAAGGTAAGTCCTGAAAAGGAGCCTGGCACTTCTTGGGAAGGCAGCAGGAAGCAACAGCAGCCCTACGTATTTGTGTTACATAGTCCAGTGTTTGATTCAACATCTTCTCGAGCAGAAGTGCAGGAAAGATGGAGCTGTGAGGCTGGAGACTGATCCATCCTCACAAGTGAGAGATGATCGAGGTCCGCCTTAAGGAAGGGGCCAGGAGAATGGAAACGGAGACCACTGTGAGGGAGGAAGGGTGGGAGTGAGGACTCAGAGAAACTCTGAGTCCTTTCTGCTTTGGGGACCTGAGTTAAGGGGTGTCTCCACTAGCAGGTGCAATTGTTTGATTAGTGACAGAGGTTGTGGCTGGAGAGAAGACCAGGTTTTAGCAGGTTATATTTGAGAAGCCCCTGGGACATCCATTGTTAGACCCAGAGCAGCCATCCACTAGTGCAGGGGTGAGTCACAAAGGGGGCCAAGGATGCCAGATACTGATGCCCTGGAGCACTGGGCACCAGATGGCCTCTGGCCACCAAGCAGTGCTTGCTTTCGCCACGTTTACAACAGCCTTGTGAGCCATAAAATTGTCATTTGGTGCAATTAGAAACTCCTGAAACTTTCTTCCCTTCTTCTCATCTCCAACCCATCCGCACGCAAAAGTCCAGCCTTAAATCCCCACAGACCTTAATTGTTATAGACCTATAAGAGGAGCAAGGGCAGACCTGGGCAGACAGAGAAGGAAGGGAGCAATGTTCCCAGTGGTGGAGGGAGATTCAAGAAAGCCCAGCCCAGTGCTGACGGAGGGAGGAGGGGCAGGGGAGCCTTTGAGATGCACCCAGAGGTTGGTCGACAGTGTCCAAGGCTGCAGAGGAGCTTCAGGTAGAGATTGCCAACAGGCCCACATATGTTTAGGAGGCACATTTAATTTGGGGGCAAGATCTCCACCTCTGAGGTTTCCCCCTCAAGGCTCACGATAACTCACTGTGTTAGCTATCAAGTTACACTGTATGGCACTCAAAGTGTACCTGGTCTGTGTTTTTCTTACCCACCCCCTCCCACACCCCACCCCGATTGGCCTGACCCCCTCCCTCTCAGGGTGCCTACCGAGTCTTCACCAGTAGCACCTGCTTAAAGCACATGATTCTGAAAGTCCGGCGGGATGCTCGCAATTTTGAACGCTACCAGCACAACCGTGACTTGGTGAATTTCATCAACATGTTTGCAGACACGCGGCTGGAATTGCCCCGGGGCTGGGAGATCAAAACAGACCAGCAGGGAAAGGTGAGTGTGCCTGTCATCAAACAGGCTCCTTACATGAAGGAGAAGACCCATGAGACAGTGAGGAGGGGGATCAGTGAGGACAGGAAAGTCTGTGTCTCAGAGATGTACCCTCAGCCACCAGGAGGAAGAGAGGTACCTATTCACAGCAGGGTTTCCATGCTGTGTAGGAAGTTTAGCAGCCTCCCTGGCCTCTACCCACTAATACCAATAGCATCCCCACCAACTTGGGATTTTGCTGTATGTCCCCTGGAGGATATGATCATCATGCCCAGTTGAGAACTACTGCCTCCGTGTTTTTAAATTTATGTTTGGAACTTGAAACCAGAGCCTGTTCTGTTGTTACACCTCCTTAGACAGCTAACTCTCAGGGAATGAAATTATTAGTTAAACGGGAGTGACATTATTAGATTACTTGTTGTGATGTTCCTAATAAGCCTTCAGTTCTCATTAAAACAGCCTCGCAAACAGGTAGGGTGTGTTGGGCCCATGTGATGTTATTGGCTTGCATTTTGGATTTGTGTGACCTTAACCTAAATCGATCTTTCCCAGTGATGCTTTGGAAACCTAGCTGAGTTCGCTAAAGCAAACATGTTTTTTCTTCTTAATCACTATCAGTCACATCCATGTATTCATAGGGCAGGCTTCACAGTTTATTAAAGAATTGTCTCGGGGTATTCCTTTAGGATCCGTGGTAGGCAGAATCCCTCCCTCTCTTGGGGTCAGAGGAATCAGAAATTTTGTCAGAAGCCACATCTCCGTGGGAAACTGCATTACGCACTTCCTGTGCTTTGTGATGGTGAATGTGCAAAGCCACTGTTCCCCAAAGTGGGTTGATAGGGCATTGTTGTCCCCTGGGACCCACAAATTCCTCTCTACAAACCCCTTAGCATGTCTCAGAGCCTGGCTCTCTGGAGTGTGTGGAGAAGGGATTTCCACTAATGCAAGTGTGTCAGTTCCATAAGACTATCCGATCGGCCCCCGAGTGGTTGGATGAGTTGGAAGACAGTTGAGATGGGGGCCAGGGTTGCTTTGTGTGGTAGAAAGGCCACCTTCCCCAGAATCTGCTTCTCAGGACCTCCTCTTTTACCGTATGTGTCTCCGCTTGGAGAATGACAGTGGTTTATGCTGTGAGGACTTGGAAATGTGTGTTAGGGTGGGAAATAAAGCCTGAGCCAGAACAGAAAGTAAAGGAGCATCTTATCAGAGCTGGGGTGCACACCCATCATCTCAGTGGTCTGTGGTGGCCCTGTTTACATTGATTCGTTAACTAAGCTGCCAGGAGTATACCACTGTGAATCGATGAGCAGAAGGGGTCATTAGGGTTTATTATGCAAATATCCCGCGCTCATGCAATCACCTTGCTTAGCCTCAGATCACCATTAGGCCATGACTGCAGCTCTCACATTAGGATTCAAACAGCAGGAGGCCTGGTGGAATGCCAGGGAACCCCCCACACATACCAGTGCCATCAGCCCTGGCCCTCCATGATCCACGTGGCCTCCTGGTCATCACACTAGCAAAGAGGCACAGCGGCTGAGACACTCACCAAGAATTTTAGTCATCTTAAAATGCATATTTCTGGCAAAACATTTTCCCTCTAATTCTGTTTAGTGAGATGGGATCATATACAAGAAAGAAAAAGTCTGCATCTAAAATGAGAGGGCTTGGGAGCCTAGGTGGCTCAGTCGGTTAAACGTCTGACTTTAGCTCAGGTCATGATCTCGCGGTTCATGTGTTCGAGTCCCGCGTTGGGCTCTGTGCTGACAGCTCAGAGCCTGGATCCTGCTGCGGATCTGTGTCTCCCTCTTTCTGCTCCTCCCCTGCTTGCACTCTGTATCTCTTTCAAAAATAAATAAACATTAAAAAATAAAATAAAATGAGAGGACTTGAGTTCTGCTTTCAGTTATGATACAAACCAGCTGTAAAACTATATACAGACACATCCAAAATGGTCTAACTCCTTATTACTTGAGCACACACAGACTCAGTTAGCAGACAGAATTTCTAAGAGGCATACCTAATGTACTGAGTTGTTGGAGGAAAGTAGCCTTAAATTAGAAATGTGCCGTCACAGGGGTGCCTGGGTGGCTCAGTTGGTTAAGCATCCGACTTCGGCCTAGGTAATAATCTTGCCGTTCCCTGGTTGGAGCCCCACGTCAGGCTCTGTGCTGAGAGCTCAGAGCCTGGAGCCTGCTTTTGATTCTGTGTCTCCCTTTCTCTCTCTGCCCCTCCCCCAATCACACTCTGTCTCTCTGTCTCTCTGTCTCTCAAAAATAGATTAACTTAAAAAAAATTTTTTTAAAAGAGAAATGTGTCATCACAACCCACACAGTAGAGAGCAACAATGGAGGATAGTGGGGAAAATAGGAGGAGGGGGATGTGTCCAGGATTGCTTCCTTCCATTCTAAACACGTGACTGTGGGCAAGTCCCTTTACTGCTCTGAACCCCATTTTATCATAAAGTAGCAGAATAATGCTTGCCTTCATGATTGTTTAGCTAGATGTAAAGAGCAAATAAGTGGATGGGGGAATCCATGATAATGCAGCAGATTAGTAATATCTGCTGTTCTTCCTCTTGATGCTGTGGGAAATATCCACACACAAAAATCCAACATCAAGACTGGCGACTGGGAAGAATGCAAGAATACCTCATTTCTAAAGCCCATCAGTGATGTGAATGGGTTGAGAGAAACGTATTTGGACAGTATCCTGCAGGCTCAGCCCTCTGACTTGGAAAGAACGTGCCGCACAGGAGCCTGGGATTTAGGAACACTGCTCTCTGGCAAATGGTGTAGTGATAGCTCTCTCTGCAGAAGTCACCTTCACAGATGGCCAGAGCAGGTTCCAGAATGCCACATCACCTTCTCGTCCCTCACTCTAGCCAATCCGCGTCTTGCTTTATTGACACAAGCAGAGACGACAGCCTTTGTTTTTAGTGTCTACCTTGGTAGGAATAGAAGGACCAAGACTAGCTATTTGGTGTCTTTGAATGCATGATCTTCCGCACAAGGGGCAACAGAGCCAGACCTCTGAGAGTTGCACCGCCCCAGGAAGACTGGAGTAAAGGGCCAAATGGCATCTGACTCATCTGTTGTCTTGGAAAAGACACAGCCTCCCACACAGCCTCCCGCCAACTTCAGTAGAGATTGTGTGTGAGTCTCAAGTGGGTCTAGGCCTGAGCTGAGGAGGAGGCTCATCATCCAGAGAGGGAGTAGGGCTGCAGGTTTGGGGGCAGGTAAGGTCCTGTCTGTGGCCGGCGTGAGGCAGAGGCAGCCTCTACAAAGGAATGAACACACAACAGCAAAATTAAAAGGAGCCTAAGAAGACTTAACTACTACATGAAGGAAACAGAATCCTTATGTGAGAAAAAATATATCTCATAGTGTAGTTTTCTTCAGAAAACAGAAGCATTTCAAAGGTATCTGCTTATCATTCACAAAATGTTTAGGAGAACTTGACTGCTACTGAGCAAGAAGCAGCAGCCACACACAGAAAAAAAAGCTGAGAGGAAGCAGATATAAGAAAAAAGAACTACTCTATGATCTGGTAATCCCACCTCTGAGTATATATCCAAAAGAATTGAAATCAAAGTCTCAAAGAGCTGTCCGCACTCCCGTGTTCCTTGAAGCATTATTCACAATAACCAAAACATGGAGACAAACTGAATGTCCACCGACCGATGAATGGGTAAAGAAAATGTGGTATATAAGAAGGGAAGTGGGTGGGGGGATGGGTGAAATAAGTGATGGGAATTAAGGAGTGCATTTGTTGTGATGAGCACCGGTTGATGTAAGAAAGTGTTGAATCACCATATTGTATACCTCAAACTAATATTATTACACTGAATGTCAACTAAGTGGAATTAAAAGAAAAACTTTAAATAAAGATGTGTTTGTAAACTTATATGTAGAAGCATATGGGAAGAGAGCTGCTTTTAATTCAATGAAATTACACAGTACATAATGTGTCTTTCAAGTAACATCTTTTATTAAGACCTAAGTGTTAAACAGGTGTTGGCAAGGATGTAGAGGAAGAGGAACCCTCTTGCACTGGAAATGCATTTCCTCTTGGTGGAAGTGCAAACTGGTGCAAAAACTCTGGAAAACAGTATGGAGATTCCTCAGAAAGTTAAAAATACGACTACCCTACAATGGAAAGAGCCCAAATGTCCATAGACTGATGAATGGATAAAGGAGATATGGCATATATATACAATAGAATATTACCCAGCTATAAAAAAAAAAGAATGAAATCTTGCCATTTGCAACAACGTGGTTGAAACTAGAGAATTTTATGCTAAGTGAAATAAATCAGAGAAAGACAAATACCATATGATTTGATTCATATGTGGAATTTAAGAAACAAAACAAAGGAGCAAATGGAGAAAAGAGAGGTAAACCAAGAAATAGACTCTTAACTATGAAGAACACAGTGATAATTAGAAAAGAAGTGGGTGGGGGTTGGGTTAAACAGGTAATGGGGACTATTGAGTGCTCTTGTGATGAGCACTGGGTGATGTAGGAAAGCGTTGAATCACTATATTGTACACCTGAAATTAATATTACACTGTAAATTAACTGGAATTTAAAACTTATAAAAAATAGGGCATTTTCTTCAACCTTAAAAATGAAGGAAATTCTGACACCTGCTACAAGGTGGATGAATCTAGAAGACCTTATGTTCAGTGAAATGAGCCAGCCTCGGAGGGACAAATGCTGCACTTCATATGAAGTATCTGAAATAGCCCCAGGGTAACAGGGCACAGTGGTGGCTGCCAGTGGCTGGTGCAGGAGGAGATGGGGAGTTCAGGTTCAACAGGTGCAGTTTACCAGTTATTCAAGATGAGTAAGTTCTAGAGACCTGTTGCACAACATTGTGTTAACAATACTGTTCTATTCTGTGCTCTTAATACTGTACAACTAAATTTTTGTTAAGAGAGTAAGTCTCATGTTACACGTGTAATTTTTAAAAAGAAAGAAAAAGGGGCACCTGGGCGGCTC